CGTTTTCGGTTCGCGAGAGGGCGTCGCGGCCGTCGCTTTTGCGGGTCCAGGTCCGTCGGTTTCGGTCCCAGGCCGTTTTTCACTAAGGGGAAGTTTACTAAAGGGAGGTTTGTCCACCGCCGAATCAAGAGCATTCCGCAGAGCGATTCACAGACTGGCCATCAGAGGAGGAGGAAGAGGTGCCCATACCTCTATCCCCTCGCCCGGTTTCCCCTTGTCGGGCCTCCTGGTTGGCCCTCGTCGCCACCGCTGGATTCGCCTCGAGATCCTGGTCATAACGCGCCCCGGGAGAGGGCCGGGGAGTGGCGGTATGGGTACCTTTTGGTTTCCCCAGGCCAGTGCAAAAAGTGTGAAGCCCGACGACGTCCCGATCAAATTCCTGGAGGTCCTGGCTGCATCCGCGGGGGGGGGTCTCCAGCCTGTGCTCGACGTCGTGAACACGTGTCTCCTTCCGGAGCAGGCGCCCCAGGAATGGACGATCGCCAAATTAGCCATGGTGTTCAGACTAGCCAGGAACGAATAATCGCCAAACTGGCCAGGAATGGATGATCGCCAATCTGGCTTTGCAGTGGCGGCGATGTTTTGCTGGGAGTTTCCGAAAAGCAGGGGCTTGGCCACAACATCGAACGCATCTAGGGCTCGTTGCGTCGGGGGCACGCATTCCCCAATCAGTGCTTGTACTGAAGGGGTCCTAGCTGAAGTTGAGAGATTTGGCGAAAGTTTCCCTCCGATTTTGGTCGCAGGTTGGGTTCCCGGGTCCGGGTTCACGGGTTCCCGGTTATTGGTTCCGGGCCGATTTCGGTGGGTGCCGGGTCCCCAGGCTCCCGGGTTCCCGGCCGATCTCTTTATCGATCTGTTTATCGATCCCACGATTCATTATTGATCTCATGATCGATCTCACGACTCATCTCATCAAACCATCCACTGACCGTTTGTTGTCTGGTGTATGGTGTTCAAGAAGAATGACTTAGGATGTTTGGTCAACTACAGGCCTATCTGTTTTGTTTTGCGTTGCACGCCTCGTTTGTTGCCAGCATGCCCAAGCAACGTTTTTTTTGACGCAGTGCTACACGATCGGAGATGGTCGACGCACTAGGGCTTCCGGGCGAAATGGTGCACGGAAGATGCCATATTCATTGCCCGGAGACCTATCGATTTTGCAGGTGTTCGGGAACGCGGCGCCGTGTCTCTCTTAGCACTCCTTTGGCGCAAGGCGTTTGACAGCATCAACAATGACAGCATGCTCTCAGCGTTGCAAAAGAAAACGTCGCTGGCAAGTACATCGGTCTGCTACGGAATTTCATGGGCAACAGGCAGTTCCACGTCGAAGACACGGGGTTCACCTGAGACAGACGGCCGCAGCGTTCTGGCATCTCAAGGATGCGCGCCGAGCCCGTCACCATCTCTGTACCATCTCACCTGCTCTGCACCATCTCACCTGCCATTTGCATCAGTCTCTCGTGTCATCCCTCCTACTTCCTCCATTCCCCTCCTCCCCCCTTCCTCCCTCCCAGCGTGCAGTCTCCCATGGGCTGCCGCCGTGCTGGCCCACGCAAGCGAGTCTGCGCTGGCCAACCCCCCAGCCGTGGCGCGCATGCGGCGTCGCTGGGGGAGTCCGTTTCTGCCTCAGTCTCCCCCTCCTCCCTCCCCCTCCTCCCTCCTCCCTCCGTCCTCCCTCCTCCCTCCTCCCTCCTCCTCCCTTCTCCCTTCTCCTTCCTCCTCCCTCCTCCCTCCTCCCTCCTTCGTGGTTGCGGGGCGAGGCGTTCGGCCTCCGGGGGGCGGCGTTCCGCGCCAGAAGCACCGACGCCGCCTCGTTGAGGCGCAGGTCGCGCGTCGAAGGCCCGCAGGTCGCGCCGGCTTCGGGGCCGACGGCCACGCGGTCCCCGCTGCGATGTTCGCTCGATTCGCTGGGCTCCGCGCTCGCTCGCGGCCCCACCCCGTCGTGCAGGGGCTCGGGCTCCAACCGCATACCACCGCCCGGCCCACGAGAGCGCGATGCGGGGAGGGGGGAGGGAGGCTGGGACAGGCGCCCCCCGCAGCGGCAGAGTTTCTCTCATGCCGTTCTTCGCCCGTGCACTGCTTGCCTCTGGGGCTCGGTGGGCCCTGGAGACGACGGGGCCGTTTTTGTTACCCGTTCCGTTTTGCCATTGTTTTGTTGCCGGTGCCGGCGCCGTTTTTGTTACCGGTTCCGTCGCCGTTTTCTCACCGATTCCGGCGCCAGTTTATTGGAGCCGTGCTTTGCCGTTTTCGTGGCCGCTTCCATTTTCAAGAGACACTTTGCCGGGAACGGTAGAGAAAACGGGCCTGCCGTTTCCGGGGCCCACTGAGCTCCAGTGTGCCTTGGGCTTCTTGGGTTTCGATGTTTCTGCGATGGACAGCGTGACGTTCCCACACCAAAACATCCATGGACGCCCTGGGGTCTCAAGGTCGAGGTTCTCGTGGGAGCCTTCTCGTGGACTGGGCTCCATTGTATGTGTGCTTGCACAGCTTGTGCCCAGTGCCGGCCGCCGCTCGGCCGCCGTAGGCGTCTCGGTTTCTTCTTCCTCATTCCCTCCCTGGAGCTCTCTTCCTCCTCCTCCTCCTCCTCCTCCTCCTCTTCCTCCTCCTCCTCCTCCTCTTCCTCCTCCTCCACCTCCTCCTCCTTTCTCTCCTCCTCCTCCTCCTCCTCCTCCTCCTCCTCCTCCTCCTCCCCCTCCCCCTCTCCCTCGCTTCCTCGCCCTTTCCTTTCAGTTCGCGCGCGGCACGCTCGATCATCCCTCAGGACCCGGGGTCGGCTCGCGTGGTGTTCCCGGTTTGCCCGGTGACCTCTTGAGCCGCACAGCGGTCGAGGCCGAGTCGGGTGAAGCTCATGTGGGCGCGCTCAAGCAAACGTGCACAGTTGGCCTTCTTCTGAGCGCGCACGGCACAATTGGTCTGTCTTGAGGGTGCAGCGTCCACTATGACACCGGCCGTTGGATAGACAAACATCTGCGCAATGGCATGCCATGGGGGTGGGAGGGGCGGGATGTCAGATATGGCGCGTGCGCACCCAGCTTGCTTCCTTCCTCCTCGCCCCCCCCTTCTCCAACGTTCCGTCCCTCGTGTTCCCCCGAGGCGGGGCCTCTTTGGGGTGAGCGGCTCGTGCTGAGCACTGCCGCCCCCCGTTCTGGTCCGTGTTCTCTTGTTCTTGGACCTGCCTCATCGGACGCGGGCCACCGTCCTAGCCCAGCACTCGGCCTGTGCTGTTCTCCAGGCCGCTTCCTTTTCCGACGCGGGAGTCCGGGCCTCGCGCTCTCGTCTCTACACCATATGTGTTGGCGTTGGCGGCGCGCATTCAGGCGCGAGAGGAGGTTGCTGCAACAACCGCTTATGCAGGTAGCATGTTACGTTCTACTTTGGCCCCAACGATCACCACCCACCAAACCACCCCAACCCAACCCGAAGGCTTCAGTTTGCCCGCCATTTCCAGTGTGGGGGGGGTCGGGGAACATGGATTAAAAAACACATGGAATCCGTACACCCGCCGACCCGAAATTCGGGTCCAGTTCGGGTCTTCGGGCTGGGTCGGGGTGGTCTGGTAGGGAGTCAAACGAGGAAACCCTCCCCTGCATTCCTCCTCGCCCCCCTTCCCAATCGTCTTCGTTCCTGGTCCTCCCCGGCCCCGGCCCTCCCCCCGGGACCTCTCTCGGGAGCCTCGAGACGGGGGTCAATGCAAACGGGGGTTAGCCAGGGCACCGGATCCTGCAGGATCCTGCGAAGACCCCCTCTGGCTGACCCGGGTCAGCGAGCCGCTCGTGGCCGCGAGGCGGCCGCGCATATTGGCTGACCTGGGTTTGCGAAGACCTGGGTTGCAGTTTTTTTTCGTGCATTGCAGTTTTTCGGTTTCCTGCTGACCCGGGTGTGGATTGACCCGGGTCAGAAGATCCCCGACTCTCCAGGGGGGGCGCGCTGCGGGCAGGCATGGGACCGGGCCGGGCCTGGCGTTGAGAGCGGCCCGGGAGGCCGAAGCGTCCAAGCCTCAGTCTTTTTCCCCGCGGAGGCCTAGCGGCGGAAGGAGGAGGGCGATGACGAGGGGTCACAAGCCTCGAATTTATCCCTATCCCTAAGATTGACACGCGAAAAGGCGATGACAATCTTAGGGATGCGCCCTCAGAAACGAAGGGAATCCCTAAGATCGGCATCGTGATGAGGCGATGCCCAGCATAGAGATAGGGATATGTTCCAGGCTGGTAAAGGAGGAGGAGCAGGAGCAGAGAGGGACTTCCCTACTCCCCCAATCCCGTGTTCTCACGGCGAAAATGAAGAAGACGAGCACGTTGAAGACGAGGAGAGAGGACAGGGACACAGAGGAGCAGGAGGAGGAGGAGGAGGAGGAGGATGAGGAGGAGGAGGAACACGAACAGGAGGAGGAGTGAGGCTTTTCTTCCCTCCTCCTTTCCCAACACTCTTTCTGGAGATCTGGCGAGAGACCCATACTGCGGAGGAGGAAGACGGCAGGGACGAGGATGAACGAGGCGGTAAGAAGGAGGAGACAGGGAGGAGGGAGGATGGGGGGGGATTGTGAAAGGAGGACGGGGATGGAGGAATGAAGAGAGCGAAGGGAGGAGGAAGGGGAGGAAGAGGAAGGGGGAGGGAGGCGGGAGGAGGGGGGAGGGAGGAGGGAGGAGAGAGGAGGGAGGAGGAGGGGGATGGGGAGTGAGGCAGAATTGGGGGAGGTGGAGGTTGAGGAGGGGGAGGATGAGGAGGCAGAGGAGGAGGAGGAGGAGGAGGAGGAGGGGAGGAGGAGAGATGAGGGAGAGGACGAGGGGGGAGGGAAGTGTGAGGAGGGAGAGGGATGGATGAGGGAGAAGGGGGGGAGGAGGCGAGAGGGAGGGACAAGGAATGGGAGGAGAGGAAGGGAGTATCAGGGGGAGATGGCGGAGTAGGAGGAGGAGGAGGAGGAGAAGGAGTTGGAGGAGGAGGAGGAGGAGGAGGAGGAGGAGGAGGAGTGGACCATCTGCCACCCCCCACCCTCTCTGGAGATTTGGCGCGAGATCCTGACTGCGAAGCTGAGGATCCCGCGGGAGCGGGTCGACGCACCGAGCGCCGACCTCATGAAGCAGTTCTTGCGGCGGCTGCTTCTGGGAAGGGGGCGACGAGGAGGACGAGGACGACGACGAGGACGAGTAGGAGGAGGACGACGACGAGGACGAGTAGGAGGAGGAGGACCGAGTGGAGGATGAGGAGGAGGAGGAGGAGGAGGACGAGGACGACGACGAGGACGAGGAGGAGGAGGACGGGGAGGAGGAGGAGGAGGAGGAGGAGGAGGAGGAGGAGGAGGGAGATGAGGCGGAGGAGGAAGAGGAAACACGACGATCAGTGAGGAGGTGGTTGGTGAAGGAGCCTAGGGGAGGAGAAGGCGGTCGAGAAGGCATGACGTAGTGATAGAGAAAGGGATGATGATGATGATGATGATGAGGAGGAGGAGGAGGAGGAGGAGGAGCACGGGGCTGAGGAGGAGGAGGAAGAGGAGGAGGCGGAGGAGGAGGAGGAGGACACTGATACCCAGTGAGGAGGTGGTCGATGGAGGAGCGGAGGGGAAGATAACGTGGTCGAATGTTCGGAAGGAAGGGGCAGAGGGAGGGAGGATGAGGAGGAGGAGGTTGTCGCGGAGGAGGAACAGGACGGCGACGACGAGGGAGAGGCACACGGCTCCTGCGCCGAGGCGGCCCGTGGAGACGCGGTTGGGCTGCAGCCTTTCGGGCTGGAAGAAGGCCCCCCCCCCTCGGGAGATGAGCAGCACGGCCCCCCCCGCATGTCGACGGCGAGGTTCGAGGACCCTGGTTCGCGGGCCGAGGATCGAGGTCCGTCGTCGTTCTCCTCGTCGTCCTCCTCCTCCGTTCTCCTCCTCCTCCTCCTCCTCCTCCTCCTTGTCCTCCGTCCTCCGTCCTCGTCCTCGTCCTCCTCTTCCTTTCCTCATCCTGATGTAGGCTTCCCTCCTCCTCCTCCTCGTCCTCCTCCCCCTCCTCCTCCCCCTCCTGCTCCCACCTTCTTGTTCTCCTCCTCTCCCACCTCCTCCTCCTTCCTCCTCCTCCTCCTCCTCGTCCTTCTCCTCCTCCCTCCGTCTTGTTCTCCTCCTCCTCCTCCTCCTCCTCCTCCTCCTCCTCCTCCCCCTCCTCCTCCTCCTCCTCCTCAGTGAAAGGGTGCAAGGGAGAGCGGGAGCGAGCGTTGCCGCACGCCTGCGCCCGCCGCAGCCTGTGGCTTACAGATGAAGGCGGGGACCCGCCGAACTGTCGACAGAGAGTGAAGCTATCAGTCAAACATCAGCACGCCTCCGCATGGTTATGATGACGAACATTTCTCTCGTGCGTGCTGCCTGGCCGTTCGGCCACCAGGAGGAGGAGAGCACCAGAGGTCTTTCGACTCTGGTAGCGGAGCCGGTGGGCTCTGCAGGGTCGGCTGCAAGTCCGGCCGGCTCTGCGTGCGACGTGGGCGGCGAGAGGCCGCAGCGTGGCGACCACGGCAATGGGGTTGAGTCGAGCTCAAGGCGTTGTACCTGCTGTGCTACGACCGCTCCATGTGCGGCCTGTCTTGCGCAGGCCACGATCTCATCAAGTACTGGATGCTCTTTCTCTTCGACGAGTTCGACGCCGAGCAAGATCGTGCTGCTCATCGGTCTCCTCGGCATCCTGATCAACGTAGCGGGCTCGGCAGAGCCCCTGGGCTTCAGGCCCATGACGCCGCAGCGCGGCCAGCGCATCGGCGAGTCGAGGCTACCGGCACCACAGTGGGGACAGCCTCACGAGCAGAACGTACAGGGTCTGCCGGCGGCAGAGCTGGCACAGCAGAGCACATCCAAGGTCCCGCCGTTCTGGGCGCCGTACCTCGAGCAGCGCGGGTACCCCTTCAGGCTGTGGGTCCAGGACGTGATGCTGTGGTGCGCGGCGACGGAGCTGCAGCAGCACCAGCGCGGCCCAGCGATCGTCCAGCGTCTCGGCGGCACGGCGAGGGACCTCTGCCGCGAGGTGCCGGTCGAGGCCATCGCTCACGGCAGGTTCGACCAGCTTGGCAACCTGGTCGAGAACGGAGTACAGATGCTGATCACCGGACTCAGGCGGCGCTTTGGCCCGCTCGACGTCCAGTCGTCGATCAGCACCATCGTCGAGCTGCTCACAATCCGCAGGCAGGAGTGGGAGAGCGTCGATGACGCGATCACGCGCTTCGAGGCTCTGCGCGCCCGAGTGGCGCAGCTGGACGACCCGCTCGTGCTGCCGACGCCGGTGCTCTCGCTGTTGTTTCTGGAGGCTCTGCATGTGCCCAAGGCTGTGTACCCCTTGGTGCTGCAGTCCAACGGCGGCCAGCTGCCATTGACGATCGATCAGCTGAACAGCGTGATCGGGATGGTGCGGCAGCAGGGCCACTTCGCGGAGCACACCCACGCAGGACCTCAGAACTTGGCTGAAGGGTACCGCGGCAAAGGATATCATGGTCATCATTGGTTCACGGGCGAGAATGACAGCGGCGCAAACACCTGGCACGACACGGCCGCCTACATGTATGGTCAGAACGCAGTCAGCACGGCAGGGAGCGCTGGATCTGCATCTCAGCACTACGTGGTCCAGGACGACGAGGGCTACGATTGCTGCGCCGTCTGCTCGAGCTACCTGTATGAGGACGAGCCCGGGGACGATGACTCGATGACCGACGACGATGACTTGGACACTTCCCAGTTCACTCAGGAAGAACTGCAGGAGTATTATGGTGACTCCGAGGGCTGGGACTACGACACCCTGCTACATGAGTGCCTGTTCCCGAAGCGCAGGTTTCGCCACTTCGTCCAACGGAACAGCCGCCGCTCTCGTTTCCCGCGCAGCAACTGGTCTCTACGTATGAACAGCGGCAAGGGCGGCAGCAGCTTTGGACGCGGGCGAGGCCACGGCAAGGGATACCACTTCGGCGGATCGGTGGTGAACCCAGGCTCACTGGCGGGAGGAAAAGGTAAGAAGAAGAAGGGCGGCAAGCACTACATGGCTGGCACGCCCGGCGCCACCAATCCCCGAGGCAGCGACGGCCGCACGATGCGGTGTCACGAGTGCGACTCGGAGACTCACCTCGTGGCCGCCTGCCCCAAGCGCAAGGGCAAGGGCAAAGGCAAGCGCTTCATGTCCTGGAACACTGGCAGTGCCGCGACGGGGACGCAGCAGGCCGGGGCTCCTGCCGCCGACCCAACGTTGGCCGCCTATGCGCCCGTGCCCGCGCAGCCGCGGACTGGAGCCTTGTCTGGAGTGCTGCGCTGGTTCACTGAGGACGCCAGGACGCCCGGCCTGCAGATCGACGATCTTGACGAGGACACCTCCCGCGAGGCTCTGAGCTGGGAGACCCTTGACATGCGCGACAACGTCGCGGAGCACGACATACTAACGGAGATCCAGGCCAGCATGCAGGACCGAGCTGTGGAGGAGCAGCCTCCGGCGACAGTTGGGCGATCAGCGGCCGTGACCAGCCCGACATGGTTCCCATGGTGGCGAGTGGATCAGTTCGAGAACGCCAGCGGGGAGACCTACTTGGTTCGCACCCGCATGAAGGACAGGAGTGGCGAGGCTCTGCTGGTGGACCCCGGGGGTCCAGGCAACCTTACTGGCGACGAGTGGGGCAACAGGATGGCAGCGCGACAGCAGCAGGCAGGACGTCCACCGCCTATCCGCACCCCACTTGACCGGGTGCTTGAGGTTGGCGGTGTGGGTTCAGGATCTCAGCAGGCCACGCACGCCCATCGCTATCAACTGGCGCTGCAGGGAGGACAAGCCGCGACCTACGAGGCGCCGGTGCTTCCGAACAGCAGCGTGCCGGCACTGCTCGGGCGAGCATCACTGCGGGACCAGCGCATACTGCTCGACTGCTTCAACAATCGCATGTACCGCATCGGCCCGGGCGGCTACTCACTGCAGCTGAGCCCAGGATCGTCGCAGTACCACCTGGAAGAGAGCCACGCCGGTCACCTCATGCTGCCCTGCGACCTCTACGACGAGACGGGAACATCGGGGAGTTCGGGACCCACGAGGACGATGGCATTGGCGACTTCGACGACATCAGATTCGACATCCTTACCTGCAGCAACCGCATCGACTCCCGCATCCACCAGGACGGCAAGCAGGAAGACCACTACTGCGACGTCATCCGGCAGTGGTGCCGCATCGGACAGCGCCAGCGGGCAGCCCGACGCGGGCAGCTTTCACCTCTGATCGAAGACACCCCATCTCGGTGCTCGGGGCGGCGGGGGCACCAGGGAAGTACAGGGGAGACCGCCATCGGCATGGGTGTTCGGCGACTTGCAGAACCTGTGCCAGAACGCGCTGCACGGATGCGGATATGCGGTAGGTCGCAACTGTGATGTTCACAAAGTCCTCGGGCAGGAGGATAAGTGGGCGGATTCCTTGCGCCACCAGCAGCCGGAGCTCGTTTGGATCAGCCTGGCTCAGCCGGGCACGTCGCGAGGCACTCGCAACGACAAGCGAACCAAGCGCTTCGAGTGTAAGATCGCTCGAGCTCAACTTGAAGGGCATCGCTGCTGCATCGTCGAGGCGGACGAGGGCAGCGCGGTGTGGGACATGCCCGACATCTTGGAGTTGCTGGACGACAGGAGGTGGCACTCAGGACGACTACGATGGTGCAATCTCGGCGTGCGTGACGCTCGAGGATAACCAGCAGCTCAGACTACACGCATCGTCAGCAGCAGCTACTTCGACGACCACGACGCGAAGTGCCGCTGCGGCTGGCCAGCAGGCCGACATGTTACACGGAAGACTGCTGCAGATCGGTTGGACTTCAAGGCCAGAGGGGTATCTGCTCTGGTCAAGCGGATGGTGGCCGCTGTTTGCTTCGACGGCGGCGCGAGATCCGACGCAGTCGACGGATTGTCGCCATCTGCGACAGCTACACCACGCCGTGAGGCCGGGGGTGATTCCCGACCCGGGTCGTCAAGGACGGATCCGACGACTGCCGGGCCTCCAGGATCTCGGACAGCGGCCTTGAGAGAAGCCGACGAGGAGCAGCCGCGAGGTGAGCGACGTCGCCCTGGCCGAGTATCATTCGCGGACGACGTCGACGAGACCGGCTGCAAGGTGAGCGCGCTGACCGCGAGCTTTCCCACCGAGCAGAGGACGCGCGACAAGGCGCGCAAGGCAGCAGACCCGGAGCGCAAGGTGAAGAAGAGGCCACAGACAGTGGAGCAGGTCTTCGACGACTGCGGCTCCGATTTCACGAAACTCTACGCGGCGAACGAATACGAGCTGGACGAGGTGTGCTACGGCACCGAGCTCAGGGAGGACCAGCACATCGATGAGCAACCGTACATCATGATGTCCGAGTTCTTTGGCATGATCGGCTCGGAGGCACACCTGAACGAGAAAGACGAGCAGCAGAACTTCTTCAGCTCGGTCAAGGATATGGACACACACACATGAGCCTCTACTACGGCCACCTGCAGCACGACGACGTCGCGGAGTTGTGCGGTGGTGCATCTGGAACAACCCGGCTACTCGTGCGACGAGGATATCGGGGCGGTCCCAACTTCGATCTCATTTGCGACTGCAACTTGATGACGCACGAGGGCCAGAGGCAGTTTTGGGAATATCTGTACCATGGCAAGCCTCTTGTTTTACTCATTAGCACGCCCTGTACGAGCTTGAAGGGGTTCTCGGCGCTCAATAAGGTCATCAACTACGACGGTTGGCTTCGCAGTCGCAAGACATCAGTGGGGCTGGCCCGCATCGCCGCTGCAGCGGCGTGCACTCAGATGGACGCCGGACGCCACTTTGTGTCGGAGCAGCCGTTGGGCAGCGACTTCTACCAGCTCGACGACTGGCAACACATCGCCAACAACTACGCGGTGGCGTGGTGCCAAGTCGACCAGTGCATGGCCGGCAAGATCGGGCGGCGAACGGGACTACCGATCAAGAAGTCCTCGGAGTTCTGGGCTTCGGACGAGCGCCTGCTCGCCGGACTCAGGAAGTTTCGCTGCGACGGCCAGCACGATCACGCTTTGCTGGCCCATGGTGGCCGAGGACCCCATCCAGAGCGTGACAAATGGCGACTAGAGAACCCCAAGGATCACGCGGAGTGGGCGATTGGCATCTGCCGGGAGCTGGCGGCGAGCATCTCCCAGATGGTGGAGCGCGTGAGGCATCAGGGACACCACCTCGTGGTGTACGAGTGCTACCCACGGCCGCTGTGCAATCCGGACCAGCTGGCTCCTCTGCTTCCTCGGCGTCTGCGGCCGCAGCACCAGCCTCTGGAGCAGCAGCAGCCGCAGCACCAGCCTCTGGAGCAGCAGCAGCCGCAGCATCAGCCTCTGGAGCAGCAGCAGCCGCAGCACCAGCTTCAGGAGCAGCAGCAGCGGCGTCATCAGCAGCAGCGCCCACAGCAGGAGTACCGCGCGCTGCGCAGCCGTGCGCTGGATGTCGGCATCATCGGCCGGCTGACCACCCAGCCCATGATCGAGGGGAGACATGCAAGCATAGATTTGTGCCGACGAATCGCGACCTGAAGTGCCCAGCTTGCCGGAGTGGTCGCGCGGCCTCAGACACACGACATACCCGAAAACCTGGAGAATGCCGAGCAGACAGTGTTCTCCCAAGAGCAGTGGGACCCCGAGAGCTACGACCGAGACAACCACCAGCCTCCGAGGAGCCGACTGCGAACCAGGCGCCGAGCGCCGCGCGAGCCGACGCGCCAGATGCCGAACCTGAACCGCCATTGCCTCCACCTGTGCCTGCGGAGCGTCGACCTCGAGTGGCTCGAGCGACAGCGGCGGCACGGCGACTGCGATCGCGTCTGCCAGCAGCTGGAGAGGCGGAGCCGGACGAGACATCAGGCGGCGCCTCGGGATCGGCGGACGCCATCGGCGAGGCGCCCGTCGCGGAGCAGCCGGCTGCAGCCCCAGCCGCGCCAGCCCGAGGCGTGGATGCGGGGACGCAAGCTCGAGGAAGTGACGAGCCAGGCTGGACCGCGTTTGACCTCGGGCACGCGCTTCGACTGCTGCACAGCCCACACCAGAAAGTCGTTCGGCGCCAGCTTCGACGACTTCATGTTCGATTTTGGCACGCTCCAGCAGCTCGCCTCAGAGAGCTGCTGACCAAGGCCGGCGCTCCTGCATCTACGCTGGCCCTGGTGAAGGAGATCTGCGACACGTGCCGGGTGTGTAGGCTATGGGCGAGACCGGGGCCGAAGAGCATGACGATCTCTCGGCTCGCGACGGGTTTCAACGAGATGGTGCAGTGGGACATCCTCTACATCGGCGAACAGATGGTGGCACGCATGATTGATGAGGCGACCCGCTGGACGGTGCTGTACATTCTGGAACGCAAGACAACGATCATGATTATCGCCGGCATCACTCAGGGATGGCTACGCCTTCATGGCCCCATGAAGCTGCTGATTGCCGACATCGAGGGCGGTCTCCATGGCGAGGAGGCGTGCCAGTGGCTGGACCGCTGGGGCATTGAGATGAAGGCCAAAGAGGAGGGCTCGCACGCGCAGCTGGTGGAACGCCATCACGACCTAGTGCGCAAGATCATACACCGCGTGCAGGCCCAGCTTGCGGAAGAAGGCATTGTGATGCCGTTGGAAATCGTGATCATGGAGTGTGCCCTCATCAAGAACCTCCTCATCACCGTGGCTGGCTACAGCCCTTACCAGGCGGTGTACGGCCGACTTCCGCCCCTGCTCGCCGAGTTCGAGCCGGTGAGCGACTGCCAGATCGACGACCAATCGGCTGGCATTCCAGGGATCTCCCGACACCATCATCGGCTCCGCGAAGTTGCAATGCAAGCCATGGTGGAGATGACCGCGAAGGACAGGCTGAGGCGCGCACTTCGATCCAAGACGCGTGCCCCGCACGAGGCGCTGCAGCTGGTGGTCGGCGACCAGGTTGACTTCCACCGACCGCCGAGCACGAAGGAGGAGTCGGGGTGGCGCGGCCCGGCGACCTTGCTGCAGGTCGGACCTCCAGTGCCCATTCGATGGCAGGGCCGAGTATTTCAAGTACGACCTTAGGACCTTCGGCGAAGCCTCGTCTACTTCGTGATGTTCACGAATAACATCTTCTTCGAGGCAGGATCGCGCGACCCGGTGGCCACCATCATGAGCTACGCGGACCAGCTGGACAGCAAGGTCGCGCGCGTCGGGTGGCTCTTCGACGCCGGGTGGAAGCGGACCGCTGACAGCCAGAAGCTCAGCGAGTTGGTCCTGGCGGTGTTGCACGTTGCCGCCAGTGGCTTCTACCTGGTGGGGTGCATCGGCGCGCGAGTGGGCAATGGCGTGTCCGTGCTCGAAGGAATGGTCGGATGCGACCACAGCTTCCTGTGGTGGTGGCGGCGCGGACGCCCAGAGCTGTCCTGGCACCACGAGGCGTCTGGATCTGCTCGACTGAAGTTGGCTCCGATATTTGGCAAGGAACACTGGCCGGACGTCAGCTTCGTGCAGTTCATCATGACGGACGACGAGTCTGTTCGCGAACTTCGGCGACGTGAACCCGAGGTTCCGCATCTTGGGGGTCCGTGGTTCGGCAACCTTCCACACGCACGACGGTATGAACAGCCAGAGCGACCTGAACCTGGACCGTTTCAGGAACCGCCGGAGCTTCAGGAGGAAGACTTCGACATGACCTGGCAGGACAAGCCGATATCCGACACGAGCATTCCAAGCGCATCTAGACAGACAAGTGCATCAATGCCAGTGCCCGACACGAGCATATCGAGCGCATCCAGACAGACGAGTGCAGCATCGGATTCAACGAGGAGTCGGAGCAACCGAGGGCAACATCGACCACGAGGGCCCTCTCCTGCCCCGGCCGCTGCCGACAACATCGTGCCGCCCGTGAAGCCGCTTGTGAAGCCAGGCGGGGGAACGCGAGAGAGATCGCGATCACGTGATGGCCCGGATCGTTATCATGGAGCCCGAGGTGCAGGTGAGCCAGCGGCGGCAGTTGAGGCCCCTGCGCCCCTGCACGAGCCAGCGCTCCCGATCAAGGATGATGGTGGCAAAGACGACGACGGCGACTCGGACAGCGACGCGACCCAGGAGTACTTGTTCGCGAGCTGGCAGCACCTGAAGGAGCAGGCCGCTCTGCCTGCTGTTGACATCGAGTGCGCTCAGAGCGACTTCTTCTTCGCAGCCCCGGACGCAGATCACGCGGCAGAAGCAGTAGAGGATGATTCTTCGAATTCCCGACCCGACTGCGTCGAGATCGGCATAGGTGCGCCACTCATGTACTGGGTGCACCCTGAGGTGGAGCACATACGACGACCTGGGTCAGGGGAGATCTACATCCTGCGCGTCTACAACACGGGCAAGCACGAGATTGTCGTCGAGCGCGAGATGAACGTGCTCACGCTGGAAGAGGCCCGAGCTCACGAAGTTGAAGTACGTCAGGCCATGAAGGACGAGCTCGAGCGCTGGGCGGAGTTGAAGGCATTCCAGCGTATCCCGAAGGACCAGGCGACTAACATCATCGACTCGCGCTGGGTGCTCAAGTGGAAGGAGATCGACGGCAAGAAGCAGGTGCGCGCGAGGCTCACGGTGAGAGGCTTCAAGGACATGCAGTCACCGGAGCTGTCCACTTTTGCGGGTACTACGACACGATGGGGACAACGATTGGTGAATCAGGTGACTGCACAGCGCAAGTGGCGATTATTCTCAGCGGACATCAGCCAGGCGTTCTTGCGCGGTCTCACCTTCGAGCAGGTCGCCGCCATGGACGGCGAGGTCAAGCGGAAGGTACAGTTCACGATGCCGCCAGGATCGATCCCAGTCCTCCGGCAGCTGGAGGGCTACGAGGACTACAACCCTGTGACAGAGGTGTTGTTGCTCCTGCGCTGCGGCTTCGGTCTGAAGGACGCGCCGAGGCTGCGGCAGGTCATGTCGAAGCAAGTGCTGGAGAAGACAGGAGGCAAGGCGCTCATCAGCGACCCGCAGATCTACGTGTACCACGACGCGAAGGGCGAGCTGCAGATGATCATGTCCTCGCACGTGGACGACCTCAAGGGCGGCGGCGAGGACTACCTGCGGGAAAAGGTACTGAGCATGATCGAGAGCGAGTTTGGGAAGTTGAAGCGCCAGTACGACTTCTTTGAGTGCATTGGCATCATGCACGAGCAGGACTCTGTGACCAAGGCCATCTGGACGCATCAGCAGCACTACGTTCAGCAGCTGCGACCTCTCCAGGAAGACCAGTATGTGATGGAGAACGAAGATGGCCAGGTGAGCGTGGAGAGCCACGCGGCGTATATGTCGCTGCTCGGGGGGATCGCATGGATGACGCAGACGATGGCGCCCATTGCAGTGCACGTCAGCTATCTCCAGCGGCAGGCCAAGAAGCCATCGGTCGGAGACATCCGGAAGATCAACAGGCTGCTGAAGTGGATCATGGTGAACTCGAATCAGCTCGGAGTTCGGTTCATCGAGTTGGACATGACACGAGTGCGGTTGGCCGTCGTCAGCGACTCAGCCTTCCACGCCATGGAGTTCGAAGGCTTGGCGATCCGAGGATGTGTGATCATGTTGCTGGAGTCCGACGACGACGTGCTTCAAACCGGATCGACGTACAGGATCGTGATGCTTGACTGGTACAGCAGAAAGCAGAACAACGTAGTCAGGTCCACCTACGCCGCCGAGCTCATGGCGTTGTTGGACGCACTCGGCACCGGCACCCTCATGAATGTGGCATTGACCGAGATCAGTGAAGGAGTATGCACGGCGAACCAGATGCGAGTGCGGCAGGAGGCCGGCGACCTAGCATTGAAGATGATCGCGGCCATCGACGCGAAGGCAGTGTTCGACGCCGTCTCCGCCGCCACCATCAAGGTGACCACGGACAAGCGTATGTTCGTGCCGACTCTCGCAGTGCGTGAGCAGATCGACCGCCTCCAGCTGGCACAGCTCAGCTGGATCGACACCGTGGACATGCTGGCGGACGGGCTGACGAAGGGCGAGCTCGACCGGACGGCCCTCGTGAAGCTGGGCTTCAGCAGTGAGTGGCGCTTGAGCGGGCTGCAGCCAGTGGCCTTCTCAGTGCGCAGTGTGCTGGAGTGCCGCGCAGAGCGCTCGAATTCCCGACCCGAGTGAAAGGGTGCAAGGGAGAGCGGGAGCGAGCGTTGCCGAACGCCTGCGCCCGCCGCAGCCTTTGGCTTACAGATGAAGACGGGGACCCGCCGAACTGTCGACAGAGAGTGAAGCTATCAGTCAAAGATCAGCACGCCTCCGCATGGTTATGATGACGATCATTTCTCTCGTGCGTGCTGCCTGGCCGTTCGGCCACCAGGAGGAGGAGAGCACCAGAGGTCTTTCGACTTCCTCCTCCTCCTCCTCCTCCTCCTCCTCCTCCTCCTCCTCCTCCTCCTCTCCCTCCTGGCGCACACTCCAGGCCCCCAGCCCCACGCGCGAAACCGAGGGGGACGGCGCGCGCGCTGCAGGGTTTGCTCTGTGCCCCGCCCCCGGGCCCGGCCCGTCTGACCAGGCGTTCCGACCTTGGGTTTGGACGCCGAAGTAGGTTGGAACATCGTAGGGGACAAGGTGGACTGGGTCCAGGCCCTCCGAGAGAACAACAAAACAGCAAAACCATGCCGATTCTTGGAGTAGGCAGGCGCTTGAAGCAGATTGGGATCTGGGAATCCAGCAATACCCACTTTCGACGACAGGCGTGTCATCAGGGCCCGACTCAAAACTGATACCACAGAGACGGCCGCCCCCCCCCCAGCCCAGTTTGGACGCCCGACATGGGTACGGAAAAAATGGGCACAATACCCAAGAGCAGTTCCTATTCATTTTGACCAAGACTCGCTGTCCACGCCGCCGCGGCCTGTGTCCATTCGAGACAGACGGCCGCCTGCCCAACAGCGGTCGCTGTTGGTTTGGGACAACATTTGTTGTTGGGCATTGTACCCAGTCTTTCTGTACCCATTTCGGGCGTCTAAAAAATCGAGGGTGCCTTTAGGCTTAGTGGGCCCTGGAAACGCAAGGGCCGTCGGTTCCGTTTTGCTGGTTTGTTTGCCGGTTCCGACGCCGTTTTTCACCGGTTCCGTCGCCGTGTTTTGACAAGTTCTGGCTTCGGTTCCGATCCTGGAGCCGTTTTGTTGCCGTTTCCGGTCGCCGTTTTTTTGCCATTTCCATTGTCAAGGGACATGTTTTCGGAAACGGTGACAAAACGGCCTTGTCGTTTCCGGGGCCCACTAAGCCCTTAGGTACCCGACCCGTGCCTCCTGCATCCCCCATGGTAATGTGGCCCCCGGAAGGGCCTTGCGTCCTCTCGCGTGTCCTGTCCAACCAAGGCCGACTGTATGCACACGCAGTCCAAAAAAAAATGGTCGGGGGACGAGTGTTTGAGCCTTTTTTGGCTATGTTTGAATCTTGTGGGCGTATCTTTGATTTTTTGTCCAACATCCTCCTGTAGGGGGACACGCCCGACCTGACATAGGTTCGACGCCTTCTTGCCCCAATCCGTGGGCGGGGTGGCAGAGGCTCTGCTCTTCGCACTGCCGTGAGCCACACACTGCCGACACAGCCGGAGTTCACGAGCACAGGCCATCCCACGACTCCGGCGGATTTGGTGGGGCTCTCGCCGGGCACTGCTGCGAGACAAGCCAATCTAGCGTTCCCAAGTCGTCGGCTGGGCGACCTCACGGTGCAAGACTTTGCCCCTCTCGTCGGCCTCGCGGCGTGGGCTTGCTCGAGGCTCGCTGCACGCTGGGCACCGGAAGCACGACTGCGGGGGCCACGCGATCCGCACGGGAGGTGGCTGAGTGCAGGTATGGGGTTTGAGTTGCCTTTTGCAGGGCTGCCTCCTAGGACGCGCTTCTGCACGAAGTGCTCCATGAACAGTACCGTACAGCTGCTGGATGAAGTGCTGGGGGAGCCTGGCACGACGAGCTCCATCCCCTTTGCCCTCATCTGCCGCCTGATTTGCGGTAAAGTCCTCACGGGTAATGTGAACCCCAGCATCTGTTTCTTGGAGGTGGGATCTTATTAGGAGGGGTGTGGGCCGTTCCAGGGTCACAGGTGCATATTTTGCCAACCCGCTAGGAATTTAGAATCGCTGGCCTTGTCATGGGCATTTTAAGGAGGTGGGTCCTTGTGGCGAGCGACGCCCAGGAGTCATGAATCAAGGAGGAGTCAAGGGTCGCCATCCCCGCGCTGGGGCCTCGGGGAGGGCGGGTCCCCGTGGCGAGCGGCACAACAGGAATCGAGACTCAGGGAGGAGGCAGGAGTCGCCATCCCCGCGCTGGGGCCACGGGGGAGGGTGGGTCCCCGTGGCGAGCGGCACCCATCACCAGCCTCGAACGTATCCCTATCCCTAAGATCGACAAGCCAAAAGTCGACGACAATCTTAGGGATGCGCCCTCAGAAACGGAGGGAATCCCCAAGATCGGCATCGAGATGAGGCGATGCCAGTCATAGGGATAGGGATATGTTCCAGGCTGGTGAACCCAGGAATCAAAGGTCGCCATCTCCTCGCTGGGGCCGTGGACGCAGGAGGGTGGGTGCCCGCGGCGAGCGGCACCCAGGAATGAAGGGTCGCCATCTCTGCGCTGGGGCCACGGGGGAAGGTGGGTACCCGTGGCGAGCGGCACCCCTGTGTACGCTGTGCGGCACCATGCTGGCGCCCAGCGTACGAGTGAAACAAGTTGTTTTGCGCATGCGGTTTGCGGACTGACACGTGTCACCCCAGTGTGGTTTCACTTTGAATGGCCCCATGTTCGCGCCCAGAATGCGGGTGAAACAATGTGTTCCCAACCATGCTGTGGTGTCGGGTCCTCGTTTTGAAGAGACAGCACTCCGCGTCTGCTCTCCCCCCCTCCTCTCCTCCTCCCCCTCCTCTTCCCCCTCCTCCCTCCTCCCATCCGCCTCGTCACTTCACTGGGTTTCACCCACCCAGGGCAGAGATTATAGGGAGCTCCACCGAAGGCTCCAGTAGCAGGGCCCGCATGCGTCCCCCCGCCCATTTCGGCACACCCCTCACGAGGATCGTTGCCCCATAGGGAGCTCCACCGAAGGCCCCAGCGACAGGGTCCGCATGCGTCCCCCCGCCCATTTCGGCACGCCCCTCACGAGGATCGTGGCCCCGCAGGGAGCTCCACCGAGAGCGGTACCCACAACGCGGCACTCACATGTGCATATGGTTTCGGGAGCCTTGAGACGGGGGTCAACGCAAACAGGGGTCAGCCAGAGCGCCCGATTTTTCAAAATCCTACAGGAGCAGGGTCGCATTGACCCGGGCTTGGGTGCTGGATCCTGCAGGATCTTGCAGGATCCTTCGCATTGACCCGGGTTTGGGTGCAGAGTATTGCAGGACTTTGCAGGTTTTTTCAAGGCCTGACTGACCCGGGTCTGGATTGACCTGGGTCAGAAGATCCCCGATGTTCGGGTCTTTCGCCAGGATACTGTTTCTCACACGGTTTTCGGTGTGGCGCGTGTCATCTCTGTGTGGTTTCACGCTTGTATGGCCGCGGGGGACGGCGGGTCCCCGCGGCGAGCGGCGCTCCGGAAGCAAGAGGCGCCAGTTTCAGGCGGAGGCCACGGTGGAGGGAGGGGGGTCCGCATGGCGATCGGCGCCCAGGAACCAAGAGGCACCATTTCCAGGCTGAGGCCACGGGGGAGGGCGGGTCCCCGTGGCGAGCGGCGCCCGGGAATCATGCGCCGAGCCAGGAGCTTTCACACGCCTGCGTGCGAAGTCGAGAGAAAGGGTCCGTCCTGCAGGAAGGACGGGGCCGAGAAGTCAGGAGTCCTCCTTTTTGTCGGACCTGGTCCGAATTGGAATGAGAATTTTGCCCGGAACCGCCTCCCTGTTTCAAGCCAGTGATACATGGCGCAAGACACCTTCTTTCAATTGGGGTCTCCACGGGCGCAGACCAGGAATACTAATAATCATCATGTTATGGTCATGAATCACTATGTGTGAATCATAGTAGTAAACATACTATTCATCAGGATTAAGAACACGAGTTTTACTATTAATCATAATATGAGACCTTCGACTAGCCACCCCCGTTTCGTTTTTTTTTTTTTTTATCAGAAGTGTCATTCCCCTGGATGGCTGTTATAAGTCCCCCAGAAACCCAGTCGTGCCGTTGAATTGATTCCATGCTGCGAGTGGGCCCTGCGTCGGATTCCATGGAGCACGCCCTGGCGCTCCAGCACGAAGTACCACTCACCTCTTATATGCGTCACGGCCACAGCTACGCCTACAAGCTCAGCTAACGGGACGGTCTGGAGCCGTCCTGGGAGGGTTCCGTGCGCTATACTTGTGACCGCTCATCTTGGACGACAGCGCAGCCCCAGCCGCAGCGGCGGAGGCGCTTGTCATCAGTGCAGCCCACCCCCATTCCCGTCCGACCCGACCCGGTCATCACGGCCAAGGTGCACGCGTCATCCAGCCTGCAAGGCGCCTTCACAATTGGTTTCGCCTTCTGGCCAGAAAATTCAAGGTCGTGGACCAGACCTCTCAGCCGCAACACATTGAATTCAACATGATAGTGAAGGCCTTACGGCTGTCGCCCACCTTGAAGACGACGACGACGAGGCCGATGCGAAGGACGAGGGAGAGGGGGAGCAGGAGGAGAAGGGGGAGGTGGAGGATGCGGTGGAGCAGCAGCAGGAGAAGGAGGAGGAGGAGGAGGAGGAGGAGGAGGAAGAGCAGGTTACGGAGGAGGATGAGGAGGGGGAGCAGGGGCAAGGCAGGACGGGGGGGCAGTGAGCAGCAGGAGGACGAGGAGAGCGGGAGTCGGAGAGGAGGACGCGGAGGAGAGGGAGGAGGAGGGGGGGGAGGAGTGTGGGGAGGACGAGGTCGAGAGCATCCCCGCATTTGGTGAACCTCCTCCGTCCCGAGCCGCCTGCAGCACCCCTCCCGGGCGCCGACGAGAGGGCCCGCGGGGGCCCGCCCTGTGGCGGGCCACAGGGCGCCGAGGGACACCATCTCGAGACCTCAATTTCTTAGCTTGGCATCGCTCGGACGTGTGCATTTTTCCTTCGGCGAGGACCCTCGAGGAGCATCCTTGGTCATGTGGCGACAGAACCACACACGAAACCGAACAAAAACAAAGGGAATGGACGTCCGAGCGATGGCGAGTTAGCCGCTGGCGGCGGCCGAGGGCGGGGCCAGTTCCGAATTCTCATCCCGCTCCACAGAAACGCCGAGACGCGCGCTGCCTCCCACACCTGCTCCAAGGCGCCCTCCATGCCCGCCAACACACACACACACACATTGCCTCCATCCCTGCGGGCCGCCTCCAGCAGGCTCTCCTGTATCCACGTCCTCTCTCAGCCCCCTCAACGCCGGGGGGGAGAAGGGAGGGCGCAGACGTGGGGGGGAGTGACTGGGAGCAAGAGGAGGAGCAGGAGGAGGAGGAACAGGGGCGGTGGAGCTGGAGCAGCAGCAGGGGAGGAATAGCAGGAGGAGGACGAGGAGGAGCGGGGGGCGCGGGGGGGGGGAGGGGAAGGGGTGCGGGTAGCAGGTGGGCGCCTCCAGGCCTGGGCGGAGGGGGGGGAGGGGGGCCGCCGAATGCCTCGGCGCAGAAAGGCATGGACCATCGGCGCCCTTGGATACATGTATTGCTCCCCTTGTGGGTTGTCGCCCCCACCTTCGCCTCCGATCGGGGGAGGTCCCTGGGCTTCGGCGATGGAGGGGCGAGGAGTAGAAAGAGGAGGAGCAGGAGGAGGACGAAGAGGAGGAGGAGGACGAGGACGAGGATGAGGACCTGGACGACGAGGAGGAGGAGCAGGAGGAGGAGGAGGAGGAGGAAGAAGACCCTCGAGTCTGAGGGAGGAGGAGGAGGAGGAGGATGAGGAGGAGGAGGAGGAGGAGGCGGAGGGGGGGGTCACCCCTCCCAGGTGCGCCACCTGTCGTCTGCTACGTTCCCTTTTGCCCCCCCAGCACCCAGGGAGATACGGCTGCGCCTGTTCAGACCTCATAGCCGTCAGCAGCGAGCGCTGGAGAAGAGGAGGGGGATGGATGGGAAGGAGCAGGAGGAGGAGGAGGAGGAGGAGTTTGAAGTGGGTTGTGAGAGAGGTGGAGGTGGCATGAGGACGAGGAGCAGGAGGAGAAGAGGGAGGAGGAGGAGCCCGGGTAAGAGTAGGGACATTGGGGGAATGATGAGGATGAGGTAGTGCGGTTGGAAACATTGAGAAATGTGTGGTGAGAAGAAGAATAATGAGACGGCTGAGGAGGACGAGGAGACAGTGGCGGCGGCAGCAAAGTAGGAGACGGAGGAAGTGTATGATAGCACGATGCTGAAGTGGGGGAACAGACTGGCCGCGTCGCGATGCCACGCCAGAGGTGCGTACCCACGTGTTCTTCCACGACTTCAGTTTCGATCAGTTCCTTGAACGGGGCCACAATTTGCTGCCATCACCATCTTCTGTTCCACGCACCTTTTCTCATTCCAATCTTAGTCGATGTGGGGGAAGGTTGTAAAGAAAGAACCACATTTAAGATCCACATTGAAACTGATATTCCACTGGTTACGTGTTCGATCATGGACCCCCGCGGTAACGCGAAATATCTTGTTTTCACACTGATGACCGCCAAATACCGCGTTGGGCCGCCTTCAGACCGCCGAGAACCGTAGAAGACAGCCGAAAGACCGCCGAATACAGCCGAAAGACCGCCGAGGATCACCGAAAGACCGCCGACGACCGCCGAAAGACTGCCGAAGACAGCCGAGGATCCCGTGAATGACGATTACAACAAAAACGCGTAACAGTCGTATCGGTTTTCGCTCGCCGCTTCGGGGTTCTGCATTGGCAGAAGTCCGCTCAAAAGTCCGCGGCAGCACGTCTGCAAGGTCGGTGCTATGAGATTCCCCCAAGTCGGTGCTGACGGAGAACCCCCCCCGACTGCCTCAGGGGAGCCCCCAGGGACCTGGTATCGCTTGGACGTGTGTACTTTTTCTCGGCGGGGATCATTCAGGAGCATCCTGGATCATCCTGTGAGAAAAAGCCACGCACGAAGCCACAGCAAAACGCGAGGAAGGGACGTCCGAGCGATGGCCAGGGGACGGGCACGCCCTGGGCTGGGCAGCGGGGCGCACCCTCGGGAGCCACCTCCTGCGGTCGAGGGCCCAGCAGGAGGGGGAGGAGGAGGAGGAGAAGGAGGAGGAGCAGGAGGAGGAGGAGGAGGATGAGGGCCCAGGAGGAGGAGGAGGAGGAGGAGGAGAAGGAGGAGGAGCAGGAGGAGGAGGAGGAGGATGAGGGCCCAGGAGGAGGAGGAGGAGGAGGAGGAGAAGGAGGAGGAGCAGGAGGAGGAGGAGCAGGAGGAGGGCACAGGAGGAGGGCCCAGGAGGAGGAGGAGGAGGAGGAGCAGGAGGACGAGCAGGAGGAGGAGCAGGAGGAGGGGGGGGAGGAGTAAGACCCTCGAGCCTGAGGGCGGAGGGAGGAGAGGCGGGGGGCGCGGCGCGGGGGCGAGGGGAGGGAGGCGGCGCGCGCGGGCACCCGCTGCTGCCCCCTCCCTCTCCCCCCGCCCGCCCCGCCTAGGGCTCGAGCGCAGCGGTGCCCTGGGTGATCCCGTGGGCCGCTTTTGCGTCCGACTCCGTCTCGCAGCAGAGGCAGAGCGGAGGCAGAGTGAAGGGAGACGAGGGCAGCACGACACCGAGCAGCGCCGTTCAGCTCGAGAGCCCTGCCCTGCTCCTCCCACCTGCTGGGCTGCCGCGCGCTCGGCGTTCGCCACACGTCGTGAGAGATGCTTCCCTTCCACTTTCCAGAGGCGCTTTTTTTCGAAATCGGTGGAGAAAACAGCCCTGCCATTTCCGTGGCCCTCTGAGGATGGTGCCAGGTATGTTTGGCCATGGGGATCGTTTGTCCCAGGCGCCCTCTTGTAGCGTTTTCGGTTTGGCTCCGACAGTCCCCAGCACCGAAAGCTTCCCCCGCTCGCGTGCATGGGAGGGGTGGGGAACGCACGGGGGAATAGGCCCCCCCACGTGCGTGCCTGCTCCACCCCCCCGCCCCCAACGTGCGTGCCTTCCCCCCCCCTCCCTGTGTTTTCCTGCATGTTTGAGTCTCCTCGCCGTAGTTGCCCTCTCCCCCTCGTCTTTGATGTTCCTACGTACTTTCCTCGTCCTCCTTCTCCTCCTCTCAGGCGCGCATCCAGAGGTCTCTGGGGAGGCCCATGTTGGCCCTGAGTGGGCCCCCGAGAGGGCCCAAGGTGAAGTCGCGCCGTGCCACTTCCCCGCTGGGGCCCGTGCGCAGCCCCCGTGGAGGTCTTCTGGGGCTGTTTCGGTGCTGCCCCGGGGCTTCTGGCGAGCCTCAGAAGGCTTCCGGAGGGCTCCTTTTGGCCCCAGTCGGACCCCCAAGACTGCCGAATGGCAAAGCGCACCGCGCGGCTTGAAAGTGTGCCCTCTGGGGGGTCGACTTGGAGCCTCCTTGGCCGCCTCCTGAGGCTGTTTCTGTGTATCGCGTGGTATGGGGCTGGCTTTACGAGGCCCCGAGGCCTTGGGGGCCCCCGAGTGAACCCCAACACGGCCTAAAGCACCACCGTCGCGAAGCAAGAGTGCACGACGACAGCTCCAAGAAGGCCCCTCCCCCTCTTCCTCCTCCGCCTCCTCCTTCCTCCTCCCTCCTCCTCCCTCCTCCCTCCCTCCCTCCTCCTGCCTCCCTCCTCCCTCCTCCTTCACATGGCGCGTCGAGGCCGTGCTGTTGCTTTGTTTGCGCAGGGCCTCTGAACCGAGCGACGCTCGTGGGGCGCGCGCGATCTCGGAAGCCAGGAAGGGAATGTAATGGAAACGCAGGCATGGATGCAGGGAGAGGGAGGGGGAGAGGGAGGAGAAGGCGGAGGAGGAGGAGGAGGAGGAAGTGGACGCATCGGCACAGCAATTCCATCAGTCAGATTGCGACAGAATAATAAGAGCAGGGGCGGAACAGAGAGAAGAGGATGGGATGAAAGAAGGAGGAACTGTCGGGGATATGTGCGGGGGGGACGGGGGAGGGAGAAGAGAGCGGGTGCGAGGAGGGAGGAAACCTTGGTAGTGGTTTCGCACACGTTCTTAGTTGCGTGTTTCATGTTACGCGCGAAAAAGCATGTAGGCTCTGGTTGCCGCATACATATCGTCCCACTGTTTGCGGCCTCCACTTGGAACAGGTCGTGTGATGCTCCTTAATGATCACGTCATTGTTAGCGCTTGGCCCTGCCGGTTCCAGCATTCGGCCCTACTAGCAGATCCAGGCCACGGATGTAGTGAGCCCTGTCATTCGTTGAGATGCCCAGGAAAATCCCCGACAGCATTGGATGCGGTAATATGTTGTTGGTGGGGATGGCGATGTTGATGGTGATGATGATGATGACGACGACGACGACGACGACGATGATGAGGAGGAGGAGGAGGAGGAGGAGGAGGACGAGGATGAGGATGAGGATGAGGATGCTGCTGATGCTGATGATGATGAGGTTGATGGTGCTGGTGCTGATGCTGATGCTGATGCTGATGATGAGTGTTATGATGTTGCTGGTAGCGATGATGATGACGATCGTAAGGGTCGCATCGTTGTCGACAAAACCGGTGATGGTTGTGATGATCGTGATGGTAATGTTGACGTTATTGATGATGATTGGTGATGTTGACGATTGCGATGATGGTGCTAAGGATGCTGACATTGAGGATTCGACTGCGTGAGAGACTGAGGGAAATGGAGGAGAAGGTGGCGGAAGGACGAGGAGAAGGGAGACGACAATGACGAGGAGGAAGAGGGAGGAGGAAGAGGAGGAGGAGGCCGATGAGACGGAGGAGGACGAGGGATATGACATCTTCCCAGAGGGGGAGCGTAAACAAAAGGGGGATAATGACGGGACGCGTGAGGAGGATGTGCAGGAGTTGGACCAAGAAATGGAGGAGGACGAGGAGGGTCAAATATTGTAGGGGCGAGGGGATAGAGGACTCGTGATGGGAGGAGCAGGAGGAAGAGGATATATATATATATATATATATATATATATATATATACGAGCATAGAGAAGAAACAAGCGAGGAGCATAAGGAGGAAAGGGTGTGGAGCAGGGGGTGCTGGAGGCGGAGGAGGGCGGGTTGAGGGGGTTTGGGTGGTGGTGGTGGTGTCCCGCCCCCCCCCCCCTGCGTTTCCTTGGCTCTCGTGGCCTGGCGCGGCAGGAGGAACGGCGCGGAGGAGGAGAAACGATGATGGAGGAAGGGAAAGGGGGAAGATGAGGATGTAGGGGGAGGGGGAGGGGGAGGAAGACGATGAGGATGTATGGGGGCCGAGGGGTGAGGAGCGGGATGGAGAGGTGGTGGAGAAGCAGTAGGGGTACGAGGAGCAGGGAGGAGGAGGAGGTGGAGGAGGAGGAGAAGGAGGAGAAGGAGGTGGAGGAGGAGGAGGAGGGGAAGAGCCCACAAACCCAGCAAGTGGCAGAAGACGACAACTTACCACCACAAGCAGATTACGGAAGTACTTCAAGCAGCAGCCGCCGCGTGCTAGCCAGCAGGCGAGTATACACCACGACAGCCCGACATCACGAGCGACACGATGAAGCTCATACGACCCAGGCGACACGCTATTGTAGTACTACGTTCAAGCAGAAATACGAGCGCCACAACCATGCCACACATGCCCAACACCGAAACCACACAATAGCCCACGGTCGGGCCTACCGACCTACACATCCGCAGACCACACATAGCATTGTACACCGCCACTACCGACAACCAACCAGAGGCAGAATCAGCACTACGACCTTCTTACCAGCAACCAGAACACCGCTTGGCCAACAGCCCCAAACAGACCGGGTAGACCACATATCCACGCTACCAAACATATGTCAGTATGTTCACGACCTACGCGACCGAAGATCAGCATGGACCCACGCAATGGCAGCACTACGATACGGACCCAGCTACAGGAAGAAGGCCGCCAGGACGCAAGCCATGCCCCAATTCACAGTCGACCAAAGCAACGTATTAGAAAAACACGAGCAACAAGCAGACGAAGCTACCAGACACTTTGCAACACAAGAAGAAGCCAAGCATAGAGGCAAGCAAGGGATCTACCAATCGTATAGCAAGACCCGTAACACACGTGTAACACCTGCCACACTGGACTACGCCACCTCACTACGCAAGACAGCTACGCCCATCAGGAACTCAAAGCGACGCAGCCAGACAGGATTCGACAGGATGATAAGTGATATGTTTGAATCAGCCCCAATCAGCATAGCAAGGCACATACACCCACTATCCAAAGTACCGCGTACTCAATAGGAGCCCCTGATTTGGAAATACGGTACCGCAATGCCACTGCACGCATGTCAAGGCAACGCCAGCAAAGCAATGCAATACAGGTCGATATTGCTCGCATCTGAAACCCCTAAGTTCCACAAC